CTGTGCTTACCACGGAAATGAGGAAGACAAGCATGCAGTCAGAAAACAAAGAAAATTGTACACAATAATGTGCTAAATTGCAGTGGCATAGGCTAGATGCTGAGATCAAAAGGGAAGGAATACTTTATGGAAGAGGGAGGATTAGCTGAAGGCAGTTTATTATTAGTTACATGATCTTGGGAAACAGTCTCTGTGAGCCTCAGTCTTCACATCTGTAAAAGAGGCTTGTTGTGCGGGCAATATTTTATGTACAGTGCCAGATACATAAGTAGTGAATAAATATTAGTTTTCCCTGTCAACTGGCTCTTGAAGAAAGGTAAAGGCTCATGAGTGAGAATGACCATGAATTACGTGTCCTTACTACAGTACAAACCATGTGTTGAGAGAATTATGGGAAATCAACCTGGAATGGTAAGGCTGATTTCCCATAATGGAGTGGCACATGGATGGGCAGAGGTATTTTAGAATGTCTTGCCTTGAAGTGATGAGAAATAGGGAACTGTGGAAGACATTTAAGGAAAGAATAACATAAGAGCAGCACTGAAAATTACTTTCTAGAATGTAGAGGATCAGGAGAGAACCAGGAGCCAGCTAAGTGTCTATAATAGCAATCCAATGTAGCACCTGGCCTTTTGTTGGTGGAGTAGGTGAGTAGACATGATATCTTTAGACTAGAGAAAACAACAAACAACTCCTTGTATGTAGCATAGCCATTTACCATCTTAATAAAGTCTGTTTCATTGCAACCTGATAGGCAAGCGCTTGGGACAAATAAAAGCTCAAAATTCTTTACCTAGTTCTCGGACTTACATACACGCTCAGACTCAGCCGGGCTGAGTAGTGTGGCAGATGAAAAATAGGGCATTTTCTAAACATAGCACTAATTCTTTTGGCAGTTCAGAATAGCTAGGGCTAGGCAGTAGCCCAGGGTCTCAGGTGTCAGAGAAATGTATTCTGCCCTCCTAAGATAATCAAGGTCAAGGCAGCCTTCTGCAGCAACGTACAACTTTTCCTTCTCCTGCTCTGTTACTCTGTCCTGTTCAGAGTGCGCTTCTGGGTTGCAGGGACACAATGACTGTCATGTTATGTGGGGACTTACGTCAGCCAGCGGACTAACATGAGAAACCTGTTCTTAGAGCATGGCTCCCAGATAGGCAACAACACGGGCAAGACGCACACACCATGTTTTATTTGTGTGAATGAAATCACACAATCAAAACTCAGTGTTTTGGAAAGTTGGGTGATTTTTTTCCCCGTCTTATGTAACACATGTGGCTTACTATGCATTCCTCAAGTCTTCAAGTCTCCTTGATGATAAAGGGCTGCTTGACACCACTATCAAACTGACATAACACCTCGCGGGTATTCTTAAATTTTTAAAATACAAGTTAACTGATCTTGTCCCACTTGTGCAGTAAAGCAAATGTCTCTCTTTTGTTTGTCTGTGCATTATAGTTATAGATGGCCTTACATTCAAATAAACCAATCAACCCACCCCTACTACCCACCTGGGGCCATAAAACACTCCTCTCCCTCAACTGGCTATCTACTCAATTTTTTCAAATCTCCATCTACAGCCCTCTTTATAGTCACAGATAAGTAATCTATTTTTATTCTCTAACTTTATAGAACAGTAAAATTAAGCAAGTAAAAAGAATAACCAATAAAGGATTGCCATTTATTTTAAGTAAAGACATAAATGTAACAGACTATCCTCCCAAATCACTATTATTTCAAAAAAGGACTTAGTTTTTTTTAGAAAAGAGCATACTTTCAGAACAAAGGTTTCTAATAATCAATTTATCTTTTTTTTAACAAGGATATTATATTATCATTATTTTTACTACTTGAATGTAGAATAATTTTTGTCAAGAATTGACCGTATTTGGGAGCTGATGATCTACTCTCCAGACACTATTTAGCCCCCTGAAAACTGGCTCTTCCTAACTCCAGAATCTGTTCTTACAGAAACTCATTAATGACTAATTATCAAATCCAAAAGACACTCTTCAGCCCTTCCTCAGTCTCTCTGCAGCACGCTTCTGGATCACTTTCCGACAGAAGTTATCATTACATGTTGGGTTTCCCATACTTCTGGTTGTTCCTGTTTCCTTTGCACCTTGCCTACCCACTAAACAGGTAGGCCCTAGGATTCCATCTCTGGACTTCTTTTCTTGCTGTATTCTTTCCTTAAAGCTTAATCCATTCATATCGAAACACTGGTGAATTCCTAAATCCATTTCTAGCCCAGTTCTTTTTCCTGAGCACCATATCCATATCCGCAATTGCCTCTGGACATCTTTACTATCTCACAGACAAACAGACATTCAAAATATTAGTGATCTCCTCATTCCACATAAGGTACACTTTTTTGTCCTGTCTCACTGAATAAGAACACCAACCACCCAAAGTGACTTTGAATCTTTACTCTTCCTTAGTTTTCTCATCCAATTAGCAACAAAATTTCACTCTGTTTATAAATATTTCTAAAATCCATCCCTTTCTCACATTTCCACTGCCTTAGTTGAAGCACCATAATCTCTTAACTGTACTACTTTAAAGACCTCTTGAGGTTTTTACACAGAAACAAGGTCCTGGCACAATATTTTGCAAATGCAATTTTCTGAGAATTAAGATCCACAAATCTAAGGAAGGTCAAGAACCATGGTCCTTGCACACTTAATAAGAACCAGGTGACAATTTAAAAAACAAACAAAAAACAAAAACAAACAAAAAATCTGGTGCCAAATCTTTCCCTCCCGTTCACTTACAGGTTGTCTCGACTTAAAATGGAACACAGGATTTGGGGTTTAATATTTGCAAAGTTGCACAAGGGAAGTATTTGCAGTACTAGTAATGTTATTCTTAAGCTAAGTGCTGGTTAAATAGGTGGTTAGTAGTGAAAACTAAGAGCTGAACACTTCAAATATGTGCCCTTTTAACATACACAGCATACTTAAATACAAAATAGCACCACAGAATTTTAGGCAGAATAGTCTCCCTGGCATGACAACTCTTGATCTGCCCTTACGGAAGGGCAGCCTTACCTCCTCTCATATTCCCAATTCATCAAGAAATCAGGAGTTCGATTTGTAGCTACCAGTTATCTCACAATTCCCCTGCCTTCAGATACTATTCATCTTCCCTGGTGCTCATCTTTTAGCCTCATCTTGAGCATCCTCCTCTTGATTTAACTTTTTCCTTCCCTTCTCTTCTAGATACTTCATTTCCCTCTCTAGAGCCCTCTGCATACTTTTTATAATTTTCTTGGGAAACAGAAATGGACACTTAATTGCTTTTTTTAAAAAATAAATTTTTATATAAAAATGGCCATAGTGCTCAAAGTAATTTATAAATTCAATGCTATTCCCATCAAGCTACCATTGACTTTTATTACAGAACCAGAAAAAAACTACTTTAAATTTCATATGGAACCAAAAAAGAACCCACATAGCCAAGACAATCCTAAGCAAAAAGAACAAAGCTGGAGGCATCACACTACCTGACTTCAAACTATGCTACAAGGATACAGTAACCAAAACAGCACGGTACTGGTACCAAAACAGATACACAGACCAATGGAACAGAAGAGGCCTCAGAAATAACACCACACATCTACAACCATCTCATCTTTGACAAACCTGACAAAAACAAGCAATGGGTAAAGGATTTCCTGTTTAATGAATGGTCCTGGGAAAACCAGCTAGTCATATGCAGAAGGTGGAAACTGGACCCCTTCCTTACACCTTACACAAATATTGGCTCAAGATGGAATAAAGATTTAAATGTAAGACCTAAAACCATAAAAACCCTAGAAGAAAACTTAGGCAATACTATTCAGAACATAGGCATGGGCAAAGACTTCATGACTAAAACACCAAAAGCAACTGCAACAAAAGCCAACATTGACAAATGGGATTTAATGAAACTAAAGAGCTTCTGCACAGCAAAAGAAACTAGCATCAGAGCGAACAGGCAGCCTGCAGAATGGAAGAAAATTTCTGCAATGGCACCATGCAAAATGGCACCATGGCACGTGTATACCTATGTAACAAACCTGCACGTTCTGCACATGTATCCCAGAACTTAAAGTATAATTTTAAAAAATGATTTTTCAGGGGGCTATGTTTTTTATAAGCAATGATTTGTACATGCAGTCAAGAATTGTTAACTGTTACTGGAGTTCTGAGTTGTCCAAGGATCTTAAAATTATGAAATTTCCATAAATTCCAGATTCATGTCCAAGGATATTAAAAATTATGTAGGAATACCTCATATAAACATGGGTCAAACTACTATGAGGTCAACAGCAGCCAGTGCTTCTGCTATGGAAGATAACCATACAAGAAACTGATGTGACTTCAAGAAAAAGCAAAGAATTGTGTTTCAGTGTACATGCAGTGAAAACATACATGATAGATTTTTAAAATACTGAGAACAGGTCTAAGAACCTCATTAGTTGAGATCCTGATCTGGGAACTGGTGTAAAATAAGTACAACTGGGAAGATCCAGGGCAGGATAATTTTATGGACGAGTCAGGTGCAGTATGTTGTTTTTTGTACTTTTCCTTGTACTACAAATTGTTTTTAAATGTCAGCTGTATAGTAACTATGAGTACCTAATTTGAATAAGGGAGTGCACAAAGATATCTATTTTTCTATACATGTATCATAATCTCCACACTCACATGCAGGTACACACATAAAGAGATAGGAAGATGAAAGTCTGGAGGTAATTTTTAGAATGACTAAGGTATAGGAGAAAGGGAGGGGTCATTTGCTCAAACTACTAGGAAGCTGGAATTACAGAATTCTGGTAATTTGGAATTCTATACTCAGAAACTAAAGAACCTGGGCTTAATTGAGCTGCTCCAGAAAAGGTTAACTAGTCACACACAGAACGAATGAGAGCAATTTCCTTCCTATCTTTGATTCTAATTTTAAAAATACAGTAATACTTTTCACAGAATTGGTTTTACACTCAAGTAACAACTCTTACACAAAGCAAAAAACAAAACAGGTTTTAATGGTTAAAACAGATGAAGTAATAGTTTTATAATAACCATTAACTAAGGGAAGCCCTAGAACAAGAAATAAGGATTTTTAATTGCATGCAAAACCTAGTTATCATAAAAACCAATGCAATACCAAAATATCTCAGCTTCCTAGCATAGACTCCAGGTCTTTTCATTTCCAATTCTTGGCAATCAAAATATGTACACTTTTATATGCACCTGGTTGTGGAGGAATAAGCTCATTCACATAGGACTACAAATATCTTTCACAGGTAGGAGGGCACAAAAGAACAGTATTTTCCTCCACTTTTTTGGGTCCATCTTGAGAAACAAAAAAGGCACTCCCAAAGGTTCCTTGGTAACACCTTTGTTAGGTTTCTTAATTACTAACATAATCTTTACATGTAAGGTTAATGGTCCACTCATCTCATAGATCTGGGAACCATCAGGCATTGGAACTGCCTTTAACTCACATGCCAAACATCTGGCTTACTTAAACAAGGACAAAAACTGTATATTGATTTCAAAAACATTTGGGCTTTGTTTCCTTGACAACTTATATGTGCTTAATCACTGGACTTTGGCATGCAGAGCCAAACATATCATGGAACTGAAAGAACCACAATATGAGATGGTGACAGAAGACTCTTTGAATCATTCTTCTCAGTTTTCCAATATCAGCTGCTCCAGCTCCCTTATAGCAATCCTACTTTGTCCCTCAGAGCGCCCATGCTCTGAACCTAGGTTTAATCTCTCTGCTGAAAGATTTATTAAAGATACTTAGATAAATTACTAAGTCTTTATCATCATCAAACAAAGAGTAAGGGAAGTCAGATGCTCATGGGCAGTGGTCCACTATTCACAGAATCTTTAGAAACCATTTGTCTGAGGCCAAGGAGAATTTGCTTTATCACCAAATTTGACCCACGTTGAGCCATACTAAAACTGCACTTGGGTAACTAGTCTCAAATCAAATTGAGCTTATGTATCGCTCTACATTTATTGCATCCATGCTGTGTGCAATTTCTGATGCTGAATAAGAGAAATGCGGCAATTAAAGGCTTCACCACAAGCATCACATTCATGGGTTTCTTGGGTTTTCACCTCTGCATGCATCTTCTGATGGTTGACAAGACTGCGCTGTTGACTGAAACTTTTGTCGCACTTCTCACACTTATAAGGTTTCTCTCCTGTGTGTATTCTCTGATGCTGAATAAGACCCGAGTTCCGGCTAAAGGCCTTTCCACATTCATCACATTTATGGGGTTTATTACCTGTGTGAACACCCTGATGTCGAATAAGATTACAAAGTTGACTAAAGCTTTTTCCACACTGTCTGCACAGATAGGGTCTCTCACCAGTGTGGATTCTCTGATGTTCAATAAGAAATGAGCTACGGCTGAAGCTTTTCCCACAGACAGTACATAGATAGGGCTTTTCACCAGTGTGGATTCTTTGATGTTGTACAAGATGAGCACTAACACTAAAAGTTTTCCCACATTCATCACATTTATAAGATTTCTCCTTAGGGTAGACTTCCTGCTGTATAACAAGACTGCAATTTGGATCAAAACTTTCCTTAGTTTCATTGTATGGATAAGTCTTCTCCCTGGTGTGAATTCTCTGATGCTGAATAAGACCTGAGCTTCTACTAAAGGCTTTCCCACATTCCTCACATTTATGGGGCTTGTCTCCTGTGTGGATTCTCTGATGACGAGTAAGGTTGCAAAGTTGACTGAAACTTTTCCCACACTCTTTGCATTGATAAGGTCTTTCACCAGTATGGATCCTCTGATGTTCAATAAGGAATGAGCTCCGACTGAAACTTTTTCCACACTCAATACAAAGAAAAGGCTTCTCGCCAGTGTGAATTTTTTGGTGTTGTATAAGGTATGTGCTTAATCGAAAGGCTTTCCCACATTCACCACATTTATGGGGTCTTTCCCCAGTGTGAATTCTTTGATGCTCAACAAGCAATGAATTTCGACTAAAGCTCTTCTTACATTTGGTACAGTGATAAGGTTTCTCACCAGTGTGAGTTCTTTGATGCTCAATAAGGTGTGATTTCCAACTGAAGGCTTTCCCACAGTCACTACATTTATGGGGTTTCTCACCTGTATGAATCCTTTGATGTTTAACAAGGCTCCTTCTCTGGCTGAAGCTCTGTTTACACTGATTACACTGATAGGGTCTTTCTCCAGTGTGGATTCTCTGATGTCTAATAAGGGTTGAGCTCACACTAAAGGTTTTTCCACAGTAATTACACTCATAGGGCCTTTCCCCAGTGTGAATTCTCTGATGTTCAATAACAAATGAACTGCGGCTAAAACTTTTCCCACATTCATTGCACTGAAAAGGTTTCTCACCAGTATGGACCCTTTGATGTTGAATGAAATGGGCCTTGCGGACAAAACCCTTTCCACATTCTTCACATTTATGGCATTTCTCTTCTGAGTTTGGTCTTTTACGGATAATGTTAGTGTTTTCTCTGAACATTCTCTGTTCTGGGGTCAAAGATTCCCTTGGTATTTCCCATAAGAAGATTCCTCTTTGTTTATCTAACCTACCAACAAGTTCAAAGGTTTCTCTACTCATAGGATCCTGGTCAATTTCACTTTTAATTCTTGTAACTATTACACCCTGTGGTTCCACTTCTTCCTCAATTTCTTCAATTTCTTGTTTTACGGTTGGCTCCTCATCCTTATCTCTGTTCAAAACATCTGGAATAATAAACAGGAAATACAAAGATCAATCAAGGTCTTTGAAGCAAGGAGAAACAAAGTAAAACGGGCAAACAAAGAAACAAATCCAGTCAAGGTGGGATTAATCAGTCTATCAAAGAAAACAGGGTAGGATGAAAAAAAATCCCCACTAAGTTCAGGAAAATTTAGGATGAAAAAACATTATTGGAGTATGATCAGACCAAATAATTAACAGAAAGGACCAGATGCTAATGGCCAGGCATAGTGGCTCATGCCTGTAATCCTAGCATTTTGGGGGAGTGAGGGGGGAGGATCACTTGAGCTCAGGAGTTTGAGACCAGCCTGGGCAACAGTGAGACTTCATCTCTACCAAAAAAGAAAAATTTTTTTTTTAAGTAGCCAGGCATGGTGGCACACACCTGTAGTCCCAGCTACTCAGGTAGCTGAGGTGAGAGGATTGATCACTTAAGCCCAACAGGTTGAGGCTGCAGCAAGCCATGTTTGCATCACTGCACACCAGCCTAAGCAATACAGTGAGACCTAATCTCAAAAAAATAAAAATAAAAATAAAAAAAGATGTTAAGAAGAATAAAAGACAAAGATCCAGGGGAAACCATAATTCATTTATTAACAAGCATTTACTCACTGCCCATCAAAAGCACTCCAGAAACACTGTAATCAGTCAGGATTCAGAGATAAGACATGAAGCCCACCCCCCCCCCCATCAAATGGAATGGATGTTAAGTAAAAAATGGGGAAAGAAAATAATATGATAAAGAAAATATTAAGTAAAAAGCAATTCCTGTATAAAGAGACAAAATGGCTTTTAAAAACAATAATAAAGGGTTAGGTGACAGAGAGTCTATGATATTGGGATGCAGAATAAAATAAGTATTAAGAAACATGGTCAGAGTTCGTGGGAGTAACAACCAAAAAGGGCAGTCTGTGGTAGCTTATGACTTCACCAACCACAAATCATACCGCAAGTACAAGTGATTCTAAACTCTCTAACAATGTAAGACCCAAGGTTCACCATCTTGTTCTAACTGAGAGGCTGCATGACATCTGAGAAATGAAAATCTTGGATGTGTTGAAGAAAAGACAGCACAGTGGTCTATCATATAACAGAGTGGTATATAGTACATTTAGGCCTGCTTCTGACATCTTCCTGATTTTCCATCTCTTGCTGGAATAGATATTAGATAATTCCACCAGAAGATTCAATAATGACCAAATTTATATTTGGCCCTAAACAAGCTCCTTTTTCATACATTCTCTTTTCTCTCAATTTTTTTGTGGAGTCATCTTTGAATTGTCCATTTGCTTACTTCAAACTAGTCATTATTTTATTCTAAAATAACCTTCTCCTATCCCTCTAAGAAACTACTAGAAATTTTATTTCTTCTAAGGCTACTTATAGTGTCCCCTCTCAAATTTGTTTTCGGTGGGCTGTATTTTCTTTCACATAATGAAAAAACATGAAAGAACTCCCTAAACTTTCTGTCCTCTACTTATAAAATTATCTGCCAATGGTACGTAAAGATACATCTGATTCTTATGTAAAGCTAATCCATCCACCCCTTATCGATTCCACTCACCTCTGGGCATTTGCTTAATTATCCTCTGCCTTTCCTCTTTCTTCAATATACACTCTCTATTGACACTTTCCTACCATTACATAAATACGTCCAATTTTATCTTGAACCTGAAATCCTTCTCTTTATGAAAGCCAAGCATTGAAACAAAATCTTAACACCGAGGTTTTCTATTTCTTATGTTTTCCATGCCCAACCTCTTCCTATTTAACCTATTCTGCAACCTATGGCAAAATCTGGTTTCTGTTTCCAGTATCTAGAGAAACTTCCCATTAGATTACCAATGACTCAAATTTTTTTTTAAAAATGGGCTTTTTTTTTTTTTTTTTTTTTACAGAGTTTTGCTCTTGTTGCCCAGGCTGGAGTGCAATGGAGCGATCTTGGCTCACTACAACCTCCACCTTCTGGGTTCAAGCGATTCTCCTGCCTCAGCCTCCTAAGTAGCTGGGATTACAGGCACCTGCCACAATGTCTGGCTAATTTTTTTTGCATTTTTAGTAGAGATGGCATTTCACCATGTTGGCCAAGCTGGTCTCGAACTCTGACTTCAGGTGATCCACCCACCTCGGCTTCCCAAAGTGCTCGGATTACAGGAGTGAGCCACCATGCCGGGCCTAAAACGGGCATTTTTCAGTTCTTATGTTATTCAGCAGCACCTAACACTTTTGACCACCCCAATTTCTTGACATTATCTGTTTTTGGTTTCTACGCTATTACATTCTTTTATTTCATTCCCTACTTCTTTGGCCTTTTCTGATAAATTTACCTTATTTATTTCTTTTCCTTTGTCAACTGATTTTTGTTATTGTTACCCACATTTACATCCTTACTTGTTCTGTATATACACCCTCCAGACATCTCCAGTTAAATGCCGCACAAAGGGCTCACAATTAACATGGTCATCATCATCTGCTCTAATGCCTTTCCCCACCTTTAATTATCTCCTGAAAGGCACCATCATCCATTATCCTACAGTTTCAAAGCAGGAATCATCCTGTATTTCTCCCTTCTTCTTATTGTTAATCAATCATCCAAATCCTGGATTTATCTTTAGCACTTACCTTTTAACCCTCACAATCATGTAGCTGCCTTACAATCTTTGGCTCCAGTCTTCAGACTACCAACACATTATATGCGCCTTACTGATCTGAGAAGAGATCTCTATAAAACAGAATTCTACCATGTCATCACCTGTAGATTTAGCAGCTCCCCATCACCGTTAGGATTGAATCAAGCTCTTTGCTATGATACAACTCTTCATGACACAGTCTCTGAGCCTTAAGTCATGTTCCTACCTATTTTATCATACTTTATATAGGCAAATTGTTTGTGTTACATTCTTTCATGTCTTATCTTTACATATCTCATTTACTAAATGTCCCTCAACACTGTTTACCTGGCAAACTTTTGGTTTCACTTTAAGATTCAAAGCAATCTTTAAGTTTAAAGCAACAATTCCTCTACAAAGCCTTTACTAAGTCCACTAGACAGATCTAGGTGTTCCATTTTTTTATTACCAGCCCTCGTCCATAACTCTATTATTGCTATGATTACACTGCATTTTTTTTTAACTTTTTATTATTTGTCTCTTCCACTGGATTGTAAATTCTTTGTGAGAAGGTAGTCTCTCCAGAATATTTGTTCAGTTATATAAGCTGGATTAGTGGATACTGTTCTGTCAATTTCATTCAAATGAGTAAGACAAAATTATCATTACTTGAAGATGATATGAATGTATACCTAAAATTCCTGAAATAGGCAAATGAAAATATAATCATAACAAGATTAAAAAGCTTGTTCTTAGTACAAAAAAAGTTAGTAAATATTATACAGAAATGATAAACTCTTCACAATAGTAACAAAAAAAATAAAACCTAGGAATAAACATAAGAAATGTGTAAGATCCATAAAAATATTCCATACAATTTTTCTGAAAGACAAAAGGATACAGTTAAACAGAGTTAACCACATGGGTAAAGAGATTCAATATTATAAGGATCTCAATTCCTTTCAATCTATGAAACTAATCACATTCCAATCAAAAATCATTTATGAACCAATAAAAAAGTCAATACTTCTAAAGTTTAGAAGAAGGCAGACTAGTGAAGTACATCCTGAAAAAGATTATTAAAGAATGACTTATATTACCAGACATAACATATAATATATTGTTAAAGCAAATAAAACAATGACATTGGCATAAAAATAAATAGGTCAACAGGATAGGCAGGTGAAGAAAACAAGTGTAAGGCTCCACACAGAGCAGCCTTGAAATGACTCTCCATTAGATCTGGGCTTGGTAATGCTTATGCAGTATCTTCCCATCCTGTGCTCATAGCCAATTTTTCTACATAGATAGTTGACTCAAAGTGGGTTTCACCAAAGAACCTGGAATTGAAACTGAAGTCACTAGTTATTCTGAAGGTAGCTAGAACTGTAACCTATCAAACCAGAAGCCAAAAGGACAGAAGTATGTGAACATACGAGGAAAGACTAAATTGTCAAGGAGAAAAAAAGAGATAAAACAGTGTTATAGACTGAATGTTTGTGTTCTCACCAAATTCATATGGTGAACCCCTAATCCACAATGTGATGGTATTTGGAGGTGGGGCCTTTGGGAAGTAATTAAATTTAGATGAGCTCATGATGGTGGGGCCCCCATGATGGGATTAGTGTTCTTATAAAAAGAGGAACAAAGACCAGAATGTTTGCGTGCTCTCTCTCTCTCCCCTCTTCTGCCATGTGAAGACACAGTAAGAAGGTGGCAATCTGCAAGTCATTGCGGAAAGAGTCATTAAAACTGAAGATGTCAAAGATCTGAGAAATTAAGCTATCAACCGTATCATTGATGTAGCTATTGAAGGTTTGTTTTTCTTTTTAATAAGCTTGAACAAGAAAAGTATGAATGAAAAGCCAAAACTATAAAGCTAGACGAGAGTTGCATTATGAAAAGCAGTTAAGATGAAGTAGAAGCATTGCAACAGTAGAGTAATAGTGATCTCTTATCAAGGGAGCTCTCACCAAGGGGCTGGAGATAGGGTCTATTGAGGAGGATGAAAAGACTGTGGGAAGATAAATGATGAATGACGGAAAGCTGTATTTAAGCTGCAATAAAGAAGACAGCCTACAAGTACAAGATCATCTATGGGCACACTGTCACACCTTGTACATATGGTATTTACATGTGGGCACTTATTTGGTTCTATCAACCAGAATACCGTATGTATGGATAATCTGGCAGTGACTGAGAGACAACATGGCATATTAAAACACACACACGCACACACACACACACACACACATCAACAGCTGATATGGCTGAAGACTAAAGTAGTGTGCAGGAAAAAACAGGTGAGGCAAGAAAGATAGGCAGAGGCTATACTTGGAAGGTCCTATATGATAAAAAATTAAGATTTTTATCCTTTAAGCTATCAGGAACCATCAGAAGTTTTACACAGTTAACTAATACAAAATCACTTTGGTGGCAGTAGAGAGAATATATTTTTAAAAAGGAGACTAGTGGCAAGGGGGTAGTTTAGCGGTTAATGCAATAATCCAGTTAAGAGATACTAAGTCTGAAATTAACTGCACTTAGTCATACAAATATTTAAGAAGCATATAATATAGGCCTGGCTCTGTGCTAAGTGCTAGAGAAATCAAATGAAACAGGTATATTTACCATCCTCACAGCAATCAGTGAGGTTAGAAAAGTAACACATATAGAATGATTGTAGTATAGTATAATAAATTCAATAGCAGGAGTATATACAAGGTAAAACAATGAAAGGAGTGCTTAACTCTGGAGAGAAGGCCCTTGATTTTAATGGATTGAAACTTGCCAGGTTTGAGTTACTCATGTGGTCTTCAAAAGATGACTAGGAATTTGAAACTCAACAGAGAAGATGATGACAACAATATAAGTCAATATTTATATTGTTCTTACTACATGTTAGTGTGTTAAGTGTTTTACATGTATTAATTTAGTTAATGCTGACAGTAACCCTATGAGGTAGGTGCTATTATTATTTCCATTTTATAAAAAAATAAACTGAGGCAAAGAGAGGTTAAATCACTATAGTCACCAGGCTAAGTAAGTGGTGGAACCAGGATTTAAACTTAGGCAGTTAGGTTCCACATTACTTTTCTTAGGTGGAAATAAAGATTTGAGCCAGGCACAGTGGCTCATGCCTATAATCCCAGCACTTTGGGAGGCCAAGGTGGTTGGATCACCTGAGATCAGGAGCTCGAGACTAGCCCGGCCAACACAGTGAAACCCCTTCTCTACTAAAAATACAAAAATTAGCTGGGTGTGGTGGTGCACACCTGTTTATCTCAGCTACTCAGGAGGCTGAGGCAGGAGAATCTCTTGAATCCAGGAGGTGGAGGCTGCAGTGAGCTGAGGTCGCACCACTACACTACAGCCTGGGCAATAGAATGAGGCTACGTTCTAAAAAAAAAATTGGGACTTATCTTCACAGAGTGGTAGCTGATGACCTGAGTGTAGGGAAGGTCCCCCAGGGAAAGAGTACAGACTGAGGGGAAGTCTGAGAATGCAAGCCAATGGAGGGAAACAATAAAGACTCTCACATGTTCATGGAGAGGTCGAATAAAATAAGGTCCCAAAAGGGTCTACTGCATTTGACAATGATGTTGTTACAGATCACTGTTAAACAATTTAAAGGGAGTATTAGAGGCAACACAAAGGGGCTCAGACACAAGGGGAGGTAAAGAAGTACAGAACACACATTAACTACTCTTACAAAATCCTGACTGTGAAGAGAACAAGCAGTAAATTATAGGCAGCAGCAAGAGGGAGAGTCTGGCTCATAGGAGGGATTTTTTCTTTTTTCCTCTCTTTTCTCCTATTGGAAGAGTTATGAACATACCAATCATCAGAATAAGGGAGAATAAATAGAGACTGAAACTATAAGGGAACAAAGAATGACTTAATGGTTTCTGGAAAGGTGAGAAGATGAGAGCAGCTTTAAGTGTGCAGATAAGAGGCAGAGAAGTTGAGAGTTCGTGCTTATTGGCCCCTATTTTCTCTGAGAAACAGGTGAGCTTCACTACTGAATGATGGATAAGCTTTTGGAATAGTCACTAAAAAGAACAGGGCAGTGAGCATATCAAGGACAAAACATATTGCTAAGATATAAAAACCCCAGTGGAGACTAGAAGAAAAAGGCCATACTTATATACAGGACATCAATCTTTTTGGTTAGAGAATTTCTCCTGCTATGTTTAGCAATTCGGGTAGGAAAGAGGGAAAGGTGCATTTTATAACAAACACAGGATTTGAAGTTTGCAGAATGGGTAGAGAATAGTGACAGGCTGGCAGGTGAGCTTGCTGGTCATTAGATGGGGAGACAAGTCCAGAGAGGATGGACACCTTGGTGAAAAAACAGAGACATCAAGGGACAGGAAACATCGTTAATAACGAGTGGGTTTAGGTGGAAAGGAGTAGTAAAGATAAGAGAAGTTGTAGTATGCTCCATAAGGGGAGAAAGCCTCTCTGTTTTGGTTACCCTTGTCTAGTTAGTCAATAAACTTCCATTGCTGAATAACTGGTCAGAGAATAGGGTATTGGGATTTATGATTTGCCTGTTATGACAAAATTGCTATGATCAATGATGTAAGGTGCTGAGTGAAAATGAAAAGCAGGGTCCCTGAAGTAAGACCCACTGAGGCTGAAGTATTAACTAGGTCATCCATGGCATGAGTTAAAATAGATATGAAACATGTGACAAAGTTATGTGTGAAGGACCAAACAAAAAGTTGACAGATAGTGAAAAGGAATTGAGTGGAAAAAGCAAGACTGCTGAGACCTCAAAGAGGGAGAGATTTTGTTTGAAGGTGGAAAACTAATGCTTTGGGGACAGCATTTAAAAGCTGAGTGAACAATAACTTCCCCCTTCCAACGCTGACACAAAGGATGGGGAAGGAGGCGGATGTGGGAGAATAAGCGGCCCCCACTTGAAAAACTGCCAGAGAAACGTTGTCCTTGGGAAAGTGCCAGCTTTCAGTTAAGGCCAGGAGGTAAGGAACATTATGTGAAGACGAAAAGGGGCTCCAGAAGGCAGAGTGAAAAGGGGTGGGAGGAAAGCTGTGGGAGGATGAGCCAGGACGGAAAGTACAGAACAATATGGGAATGAGATTACGAAGACAGGATGCCCGAAAGGCTTGCAGTTTGGTCACTTCAAGGAAGCTAGGGATGAGAGGTATGGAAACAATTAATGGCTAAAAGGTTTGAATCAGAACTTTGGAACTAAGCAGTTTTGGTACTGGTTTCTGTCCAAATATTCTGTTCGTCTGATTTCTCTCTACTTTCTTAGATATTTTAATTAGAGAAACAGCAGATTCTTACCCAGTGAGACCAGGTTTCCATAATTCTCCATCATGACATCTTTATACAGGCTTCTCTGAGCTGGGTCCAGATAATCCCACTCCTCCTGGGTAAAAAACACA